CAAAAAGACTACAATTGACCTATGCGGTTTTTACCAAAATCATAAAGGAAACAAATTGCTAAACTGGTTTTATAAAAAGAATATTTCCGGTGAAAGAAAAATTCCAACTTCTTGTCCTATCGAACCAGGATTTTATTTTCTTAAAGATTTTGTAATTGACGACAGTTTCTTGACATATGCAATTCCAACATCCAAAGTTCTTATTACAATCGTTCTGAGTTCAAAGATGGATGAAAGGATGATTGAATTGGGTGACCAGAAAGTTCAATTTGAAGTCAAGACTCGCGAGAAATGGGAAAAGGAGAGAAAAAAAGCAAAACAAGGTTGAATCTTAATAATGTTTGAAAATTTGCCTTCCTAATCTTTTTATTGTTTACCATAATTCTTTGGAAATGCTTTTTGTATGTTTCCTTGATCTTCGATGTACGAATAAAAAAAATTATACAAATAGAGCTTCAACAAAATTTTAATTGATCAATACAACAGACAAAAAATCTCCATTTTAAAAATGAGATAAATTAAAAACATATTAAACCGGTTTCATTATTTAAAATTGGCTGATTAATTACAAAACTCTTATTAAACTGAAATGAATTGAATTCCGTTTGATAGCTTCACTTTTATTTCTTTATTTACAATTGTGAAAACAACCATGAAGGTTGCTGATCAAAGGATGAATTTAAAGACAATAATTTTCATATTTTTATTGACACAACCATCTTCTCAAGCGGAAAAAGTATTGCTTACCACTTAAGAAAAATTTATCTTCAGACCGATAGATGCTCAGCAGAATTTCATTTTATCTGCAGGGAATCTAACTCAATTTGAAGGCAAATTCCACACTTTGCTTCAATTTCTCAAAATTTCTTTTACTTATTCAACAGGAAAAAACAAAATCTTTTGTTGAAAAAATTGAGCTAACTCAAAATACATCAATTCTGGAAGTAAAATATTTTATAAATGAGACTGAAAATGGTTCATATTCGTTAAGTTACAATTTTACGGTTTTTGTAAAAGTCCAAAATTTATTCCTGCAAAATTCTGTTAATGTTTTAAGTGCTAATGGAAAATATGAGCCATTTATGGGAAAAGGTGTTACGAATTTGTGCAAGTTCTGGAGCAATCGGAAAGGAAACAAATTAATACGCATGCTTTTCGATAAAATTAAAGGCTACCGAAACCTTCCAAAGTCATGCCCAATCGAGCCGGGATTTTACTATACAAAAGATGTCATATTTGATGGAAAAAATTTGGCAGCTCAAAATATTTGGGATGTGAAATTTATGATTGCATTGGACTATGGCACAAAAACTAATGGAAAAATGTTGTTTTTTTTGAAATTAAAAGTTTATATTGATTTTAGAGATCGCTTGAGTTTGGAACAAGAAAAGGAAAAGCTCAAAAAAAAGCTGTGACTAAAATATGACATTTTTTTTTAATTTATTTTATTTTTCATTGGTATAAAATTTTGATTGTCTCTAAATAAATTAGACATTGGAAAAAGATAGAAAAATGCAAAACAAGGTTGAATCCTAATTATGTGCTATAATTTGTCTTTCCAATCGTTTTACAGTTTAATTTAATTCTTTGATAATGTTTCTTGTATGTTTACTTGATCTTCGATACATAAATAAAAAAATTTGTACAATGTTTCCAAATTATTTCAATTGATCAACAGATAAAGAATTTCCATTTTAAAAATGAGATAAATTAAAAACATATTAAGCTCATTTTAATTTTAGAAATCGACGGATTAATTACAAAACGTGGAACTCTAATTAAACTTATATGAATATTCAATCCATTGTGGAATATCTAGTTTCATTTTTTGTTTCTTTATTTATAATTGTGAAAACAACCATGAAGGTTGCTGATCAAAGGATGAATTTAAAAAAAATAATTTTCATAATGATATTGGCACAACCAACTTCTCATGCAGAAAAAGTATTGCTTAATTCTTAACAAATTAATTTTCAAATTTTAAATTTTATTTATCCAACAGGAAGAAACAAAATCTTTTATTGAAAAAATTGAGCTAATGCAAAATACATCAATTATGGAAATAAAATATTTTTTAAATGAGTATGAAAATGGTTCATATTCGTTAAGTTACAATTTTACGGTTTTGGTAAAAGTCCAAAATTTATTTCTACAAAATTCTGTTAATCTTTTAAATGCTGATGGAAAATATGAGCCATTTGTTGGAAAAGGTGTTACTGATATGTGCAAGTTCTGGAGCAATCGGAAAGGAAACAAATTGGTTCGAATTATGTTCGGGAATTTAAAAGGCCGAAACCTTCCAAAGTCATGTCCAATCGAGCCGGGATTTTATTTTGCAAAAGATATCATATTTGATGGAAAAAAATTGTTAACTCACAATATTTGGGATGTGAAACTTATGATTGCATTGGACTATGGCACAAAAATTAATGGAAAAATGTTGAATTTTATGAGATTAAAAATTTATATTGATTTTAGAGAACACATGAAAAAAAAGCCAAGGCAAAAATGATATAAATTCCTTTAATTTGTTTTAATATTCATTGGAATGAACACTAAATATTGTAATTATATTTACTAATAAAAACATTGAGCATTCATTTTTTTCTTTCTTTTTCATATTTCATTGAAATCATTCTAATATAATTATTTAAAAGACTTTACAAAAGCTTAGCTCATCAAATAAAAATGCAATACAATCTTAAATATACGATCATCTGTATAAATTAGTTCTTGCCAATGCTTCTAAATAAAGTTGAAAAAATATTTAAAATGAAATAAAAAAACTGAAAGAGTTAAAAGTAGATTTTCATTTAACTTCTGGGAAATAGGAAATTGCCTTATCAAAAATTTGTAATCAAAATGTGTCAAATATCATTTAAAAGTCTTTTCATGCTTTTCATTAACAGTTGTGAAGACAACGATGGAAGCCGCAATTCGACGGAAACATTTATTGATAATCGTTTTGACATTGACAATGGTGGACCTGACTTTCCAAGCAGTTGAGTGTTTAGCCTAAGATTTAAAAAGCAGATAATAAATATTAAACTTGAATTTTCTCACTCAGTTTGGAAAATCAATTTATCAATTGAAAAATTATGAAGTTTTGCAAAACAAATCAATTTCAGAGGTTAAAATTATTTTAAATGTAACTGAAAGCAATTCGTATGTGCTAAGCTTCAATACCACCACTTTTGTAACCCTCCAGAATTTGTTCCTACAAATTTCAGTTAATTTTTTTAATAATGGAAAATATGAGCCATTTATGAGAAAGATTGTTCAGGATTTATGTAAGTTTCTTAACCTTCAAAAAGGCAACAGGTTGGTACGCACAATTTTCGAGAAATTCAAAGGAGATAAAAGAATTCCAAAATCATGTCCAATCGAGCCTGGATGTTACTTTGCAAATGACATAATATTCGACGGAAATTCCACATTAGTCCAAAATGTAGATGAATTGAAAACTATGACTGATTATCATTTCGGCACAAAGACAAAAGGGAAAATGAATTATTTCTTTAAATTAAGAGTTTATGTTGATTTCAAAGATCGCTTGAAATGGCAAAAAGAGCAGCTCATAAACAAAACGAAGACTCAAAAAAAGAAGATTTAAAAGCTTTAAGAAATATTTAAGTCAAATTAAAAATAATATTTTCAATTCCCATATTTACAGGCTACAGACATGATTAAAATGAAAACTTTTTCGATTCAAATGGAGAAATAATAAAAAGATTTTTCTTTTACTACAAAATCATTTTATCAACTTTTCATAATGTTCAAAGAGATTCCGAAAATAATTTTGAATGTTCGATTAAAATTAAAAATTAAAAATATATTAAATACAATCGTTTTGTAATAATGAGCACTTAATTATCAGATATATTTAACCAAAGCAGATTCGAATTTTTTCTTCATTACATTACAAATTTTAAGTTCAACGATGGAAGTCAAATTACGAATGAATCATTTGGGATTAATTCTTTTCACATTATTTATGATCGAATTGTCATTCCAAGTAAGTTGAGTATTCATTTCTATGAGAATTTTGAGAAAAATTTTATTAATTTTTTCAGCTTGAGAAATCAGTTTACAGGTGGAATAATTTTGAGTTGTCACAAAATAAATCTTTCGTGGATGTAAATTACTTTCTAAATGCTACTAAAAGCGGTTCATATGTGCTAAACTTCAATGCCACAACATTTTTTCCATTGCAAAATGCTTTTATACAAAACTCAATTCAGTTCTTAAATGCTAACGGACAATATGAGCAATTCATGGGAAAAGGTTTGACTGATTTGTGCAAATTTCTTAGCTTTCGTAAAGGAAACAAAATAATGCGAATAATTTTCGATAAAATTAAAGGAGAGCAAAATTTTCCTTCATCTTGTCCAATCAAACCAGATACTTACTATGCAAACAACATAGTGTTTGATGGAAACAGCAGCCTTTTTCAGTATGTTGGTGATGCCAAAGTGATGGCTTTGTTGGATTTTGGGACAAAGATTAAAGGAAAAATGATTTATTTTGTTAACATAAAAGTTTTTGTTGAATTTATAGAACGTGTCAAGTGGGAAAGGGAACAACTCAAAAACAAAACCAAAGCAGAAAAAAAGAAACATTAAAAATATTTTATTATGCATTGATTAAAAATAGTGACTCAAATTTACTTTCTGGTTCTAATTAAACTTTTGCAGAATTTCGGATATTTATATTTTTGAGATCATAAATGTTTGATAGAAACGAATAATTAAAATGATATTAAGTGTCGTCATTTTTGCATAATGATTAAGTTAACAATTTGGTGGACTGAAATGCAGTTTTTTTGTTTTGACCTTTCATTTCTACTTGTGAAGACAACGATGCAGGCTGAAATCTATAGAAATTGTATGAAAATAGTTTTCTTAAGTTTTTTAATTGTGAAATTTTCATTTCAAGCAGTTGAGTAGATATTCTTTGATCTTTTATTTTTTCCTTACCACAACTGTTCTTTCATTGCAAACATAAATGTCAAATCTTTGATAATCCTCAAGTATCTATGTTTAACATTACTTAACAATGTTGTTTTGAAGATAAAAATAAATTCTCGTTTTAGAAAGTCTCAACTGACAGTAAGCGTGAATCATCAGTTAAATAAAAATTGAACAAAAAATTTGGCTATCAAAGCCCTGGAACGAAAACTATTAAAATAATAGACCATTCAGGAATCTTTAGTCAATAATGGGTCATTTAACAAAATTTGAACAACTAATAATTAAAATGAAAATCATTTTGATGTTAGTTTTTTCATTATTGGCTTTAGAGACTACCATGGAAGCTGAAAAACGAAGGAGGCAATTGAAGATCATTACTTTAATTCTTCTATTGGTTGAATCATCTTTCCAGGCAGTTCAGTATAAATTTGAACCGATTTGCATTCAAATACTGATTTAACTTTGAACATTTATTTTGACAGGGCAAAAATGTTATCACATTAGAAAAAATTGAGTTCTCACAAAATAAATCTTTCCTCGAGCTGCAATATCTACTCGAAGAATATGGAAATAGTAACTACCGGTTGAACTTCAATGTCACCAGCTTTGTAAGACTCGATAATTTTTTCATACAATATTCTGTGAATGTTCCAAATAGTAAAGGAAAATATGAGCCATTCTTTGGAAAAGGTGTTAGTGATTTATGTAAATTTTTAAGCAATCGGAAAGGGAATATATTAATTCGTTCACTTTATGATAAAATGAAAGGCGATAAAAGAATTCCAACATCTTGTCCAATTGAACCAGCATTTTACTATGTCAACAACATGTTATTCGATGGAAAGAACATGTTTTCTGAACAAGTTCGAGATGTCAGAGTTATGATAGCATTGGACTTTGGCACGAAAATAAAAGGCAAAATGAATTATTTTGTTAGTTTAAAAGTTTATAATGGATACAAAGATCGATTAAAATATGAGAAAGAAAACCTCGGCAACAAAACTGAAGTAAAGTTTTCCAGTTCTTACAATTAATTACAAAACAAATAAAGTTAAGAAAACTGTAGTTGAATATTTAATTTTCTACTAAAATTAATATGTAATAATTCTTATAAGAAGTTATTTGAGTAGGCATTGACACAAAAATAATGTTCCAAGTTGTTCCTTGTTTCTGATAAATATTAAGATATTACATGTTTTTAAAACGGCATTATAATATTAAACTTTTTGGAAAACGATCATTTAATCTTAGTGTAATCAGTATATAAATATCATGTAGAAATAAAGGATGTAAAATTGTAATAAAACTGGCATCGTAGTTGTCTAGTTTTTTGTTTTTCACTGTCAATTGTGGATGTAACAATGGAAGTCGCATTTAGAAGACAACAGTTGAAGATAATTATTTTTACATTGTTTTTGGTGGAATTATCAATTCAAGCAGTTGAGTATAAATCTATATAATTTGTAATGATTAGGTAATTCCATAAAATATTTTTGCCAGAATAACATCAAAACTAAAACAACAATCGAAAAAATTGAAGTCTCAAAAAATAAATCAATTCTCGAATTTCAACATTTGCTAGACGAGTTTGAAAATGGTTCATATGTATTTAACATGAACGTCACTATCTTGGTTAAATTGCAGAATGTATTCATTCAACATGCCATTAATGCTCGAAACAGTAAAGGAAAATATGAACCATTTCTTGGAAAAGGTGTTACAGATATTTGTAAATATCTTAACAAAGGGAAAGGCAATAAATTGATTCGGGGACTTTTTAACAGAATTAACATGGAACATTTTCCAACATCATGTCCAGTCGAACCAGGATTTTACTATGCAAAAACAGGTATACAATTTGACGAAAATAACTTGTTTGTTCAGTATATCGGAGAAGCCAAATCTATGCTTTCAATGGACTTTGGTACGAAAACAAATGGAGAAATGAATTATTTCATTAATATAAAAGCTTATCTTGAATGTAAGAAAGTCTTGGATGAGAAAAAGAACAAAACTGAAGTAAAGTTTTAGAACTTTAGTTTTTATGATACAGTGGAACTTCGATAAACAGATGGCTGAAGGTCTGAAGGACAAAAAAATATCTGTTTATCAAGGTTTATCTGTTTATCGAAGTAACTGTTTATCGAAGTTCCACTGTAATTATATTTGAAAGTTTAATTTTCTACCAAACTCAAATAAAAATTGCTTGTACGAAGTTAATTGAAATTTTTTTTGAATATTGTTCCCTGTTGTTCCTTGTTTCTGATGAATATTAAGATACATATAACTGTTATTAAAAAAACATTAGATTATTAAACTTTTTGGAAAACGATCATTTAATCTTATTTTAATCAGTATATAAATATCATGTAGAAATAAAGGATGCAAAATTGTAATAAAACTGGCATCGTAATTGTTTAGTTTTTTCATTGTCAAGTGTGGATATAACTATGGAAGTCGCATTTAAAAGACAACAGCTGAAGATAATTATTGTTACATTGGTTTTGGTGGAATTATCAATTATCCAAGCAGTTGAGTATAAATTAATTGAGTTTCTAATGATTACTTCCATAAAATGTTTTTGCCAGAAAACTACAATCGAAAAAATTGAAATTTCGCAAAATAAATCAATTGTTGAATTTCAACATTTGCTGGACGAGTTTGAAAATGGTTCATTTCTATTGAACATGAGCGTCACTATCTTTGTAAAGCTGCAGAATGTATTCATTCAACATGCTATTAATGCTCGAAACAGTAAAGGAAAATATGAACCATTAATTGGAAAAGGTGTTACAGATATTTGTAAATATCTTAACAAAGGGAAAGGCAATAAATTGATTCGGGGACTTTTTGACAAAGTTGTTTTTGAACATTTTCCAACATCATGTCCAGTCGAACCAGGATTTTACTATGCAATACCAGGTATACAATTTGACGAAAATAACATGTTTTCTCAGTATATTGGAGAAGTCAAATCTATGCTTTCATTGGACTTTGGTACGAAAACGAAAGGAGAAATGAATTATTTCATTAAGATAAAAGCTTATTTCGAATCTAAGAAAGTCTTGGACGAGAAAAGGAACAAAACTGGAGTTTAGTTTTCCAGTTCTTACGATCAGTTACAAAACAAGTAAAGTTAAGAAAAGTGTAGTTGAATGTTTAAAATAAAAAATTCGTGCAAACACGAAGTTAATTGAAATGTTTTTGAAAATATTCGCCGTTGTTCCTTGTTTCTGATGAATATTAGGATATTATAGTTATTAAAAAAGACATTAGACTATTAAACTTTTTGGAAAACTGTCATTTAATCTTATTGGAATCAGTATATAGAAAAGCAAGTAGAAATAAAGGATGCAAAATTGTAATAAAACTGGCATATTAATTGTTTAATTCATTCATTGTCAATTGCGGATTTAACTTGAAGATGCAAACTTGAAGAACATATGGGTCGACTGTGATATAGAAACTTATCATAAGTTAATAGAAGCCAAGAAAATCAATATCTGCTGGAGTCGTTGTAATGTTGTTGATGGATTATCCCCAATGAGATGCTACAAATGCAGTCGATATGGTCATAGAGCTTCTGTTTGCAAAGAATCTGAAGAATGTTGCCCCAAATGTTCCAAAAATCACTCACTAACAAAACATGATGATAAAATACACGGGAAGGAATCAAAATGCATTAACTGTTTAGATGCCAACGAGAAATTAAAACTAGATTTCAACGTGAATCATGCTGTTTGGGATAAAGACTGCGAAGTCTTTAAAATGAAATTGAAAAATTTTAAAAATTATATTTTCAGCAAATGAAATTAAATATCATATTGTAATCAAAGAAAAGTACCAATACTGGTAATAATAAACACTTCTATCTATCTATCTATCAATGGAAGTCGCATTTAAAAGACAACAGCTGAAGATAATCATTTTTACATTGGTTTTGGTGGAATTATCAATCCAAGCAGTTGAGTATAAATTTATTGAATTTCTAATGATTAATTCCATAAAATGTTTTTGCCAGAATAACATCAAAATCAAAACTACAATCGAAAAAATTAAAATTTCGCAAAATAAATCAATTGTTGCATTTCAACATTTGCTAAACGAGTTTGAAAATGGTTCATATGCATCAAACATAAACGTGACTTTCCTGGTAAAGGTGCAGAATTTATTCCTTCAACATTCTGTTAATGTTCGGAACAGTAAAGGAAAATATGAACCATTTCTTGGAAAAGGTGTTACTGACATTTGTAAATTTCTTAGCCAAGGCAAAGGCAATAAATTCATTCGGGGAGTTTTTGACAAAGCTAATGTAGAACACCTTCCAACATCATGTCCAGTCGAACCAGGATTTTACTTTGCAAATAATAATCATGAATTTGACGAAACTAAGATGCTTTCTCAGTATGTTGGAGAAGTCAAATCTATGCTTTCATTGGACTTTGGTACGAAAATAAATGGAAAAATGAATTATTTCCTTAAGTTAAAAGCTTATTTGGAAGCTAAGAAAGTCTTGGACGAGAAAAACAACAAAACTGGAGTTAGGAAGGCATAAAATTTTTACAAACTGTTCGCAATGTTTTAATTAAATTGATATAAAATAAAAATATGTATTTGTGTTGGTCAAAAAATAAATGAAATGACTCTTTAATAAAAGTTGTTCCCTTAACCGTGATTTCCGCCGAATATTCCAAATGATTAATAATTAAACTAAAATTGTGATTGTTTTTAAAAGTTTTTTTTTTCTGCTTTTCATTGCCTGTTGAGATGGCAACGATGGAAGCCGCAATTTTTAGGAAGTGTTTAGGGATAATTATTTTAATAATTTTAATGGTGGAATTATCTCTGCAAGCAGTTGAGTGACTGTGGATTTCTTTGTTCTTCTATTTAATTCCAATTCACTTCTTTTGACAGGATGGAATAAAACCTACATTTGAAAAGCTCGAGTTGACGCAAAATAGTTCGATTCTGGATGTGAATTATTTTTTAAATGTGACTGAAGACGATTACCTTATTTTAAGCTTTAATGTCACTTTCTTTGTTAAGCTGCAGAATTTATTCTTACAAAGTTCGATTAATTTTCAAAATAGTAAAGGGAAGTATGAACCGTTTGTTGGAAAAGGTGTCACCGATCTATGTAAATCTTTGAATTTCCGTAAAGGAAACAAATTGGTTCGAATGCTTTTCGAGAGAATTAATGACGATAGCAAGTTTATCACATCATGCCCAGTCAAACCAGGATTTTATTATGTCAACAACATGTTATTTGATGGACAGAACCTGATAACTAAGCATATTGGACAAACCAAAATTATGTTTGCATTGGATTTTGGCTCAAAAACAAATGGAAAAATGAAATATTTTCTTAATTTAAGAATTTATAATGACTTCAGCGACCGCCTAAAATGGGACGAAGAACGTCGCAAACACGAAACGCTAAAAAAGAAAAATTAAATTTATTATTAATAAAGAAAAGCTTCAAAATTCTTCTTTTTTCAGTTTATAGAGAAAACCTAAATTTATCCACAATTTTTAACAATGAAAAATGAAATAAAGTTATTAACTAGTTGAATGGCTTCGCTTTTGCTTTGCTGAGTGAATGACCTTCATTTTAATTGATTGTCATTTGGCGGAGCGTCATTTATTCTGAACTTATCAATTGCTTCAACCAGGAAGAAAGACTTTGTTATCGGTGACCGTTTAATCGTATTTGTATCTCTTTTATACAAATATCATGGTCGATACATAATAAACCAATACGATTTGGCATTAGGGATACTTGCTCAAGGGAAAATCTAATTGTCCCATAAAACAATCTCTCTATGATAAACATTACGTGTAGCTATATGATTTTGGCCCCGAAATTTCGCATGTATTTTGAAATGACTGCATCATTACCTAATTGACGAATCAATTTATAACTTCATCGTCCGCTAGATATATTTGACTTTTATTTTTAATCTTTATAACTAAGTACTTGTGAGACAATATTTTCAAATTGATTGTGATTGACAAGAGATTCAAACACTGTCTGAGGGAAGATGTTTGAATGTGATGAACAAATATTTTTTATCTTTTCTTCTCATTAAAATCCAATTCTTAATCTTGAAGTGGAAATGGAGAAAAATAATTTTTTAAGGGATAAAAAATCTTTTCACAAATCACAAATGGAGAACTTTCTTTGTCCACTCACAGATTCCTTATGTGAGTGGATGAACTCGAGTCTAGACATTGTGATAATAAACAAACACTATAAAGATGCAATCATAGGATTTATTCCTCCGCCTTTATCAAAGATTGTCTTAGTATTTCGAAGTTGTAAGTTTACTCTTCATTATCTCCAAAAATCAAAAGAAAACGAAGCGAGTTCCGAATTCAAGAAAACAAATAACCGTCAATATAAAATAATTAACAACGTTGCGTCGAAATTATTAGCTTGTTTAATATACGAGCGAGGGAGCTTCTATCAGTTTCATTTCTGCCTTCAAGGAATCAACATTATTTTCATCAGACGTTAAACAAAACTTTGTGATCTAGATGGATGTTGGTGTCAATGATATTGAAAGTAATTTTGCTTAATAAAATCAAATTTGCATTTGTAATTTCAGACAACAGTGGGAAATATGGAGATGGGTGATCCAGTTGTTCAAAAGAAAAACCTCACATATGGAATTGACGATAATCCACCTTGGTAAAAGTCACTAATTAATTAATTACAAGTATCTAAGATGTTGTTAAGTTTATTTCAGGTACTTGTCATTTTTTATGGCGATTCAACATTATCTCACTATGATTGGAGCGATTGTTTCAATTCCTTTCATCTTAACGCCCGCTTTATGCATGGAGGTTTTTATCTTTAATCCTTCAAAATTTTCACATTAATTTAATTCTTTAATTCAAACAGGATGAAAATCCCGCAAGAGGAACAATTATATGCACAATGATTTTTGTGACAGGTTTAGTGACAATAATTCAAGCAACTTGGGGATGTCGATTGCCATTGGTTCAAGTAATTAGATAATTTAAAGTTGCTGAACACTTTTTAATTTATTTTGATGGGATAAAGGGCGGCACAATTTCCTTTCTTGTTCCTACTCTTGCTATTTTAAGTTTGGAAAAATGGAGATGTCCAGATTCATCAGTAATAGCTGCAATGGAGTTTGATGAGAAAGAAGAAATGTGGAAGGAACGAATGAGAGAATTATCAGGTGCAATTATGCTCTCGTCATTATTTCAAGTGATTATTGGTGGCACAGGTTTAGTGGGAAAGTTTGCTGTGAAGATTATTACACCACTTACAATTGTGCCAACTGTTGGATTAGTTGGATTAACTTTATTTGATCATGCAGCAGAAACAGCATCGACAAACTGGGGAATCGCTGTTGGGTAAGAAAAAAACTGATGAGAAAACTTCCTTGAAATGACAACTTAATTAACTTATCTTAACTTTCACAGCACATCACTTTTATTGACATTGTTTTCACAAATAATGGTGGAAATCAAAGTTCCAGTTGTGACATATCGAAAGTCAAAAGGTTTTCAAATCATTTGGTTTGAACTTTTCAAACTTTTTCCCGTATTCTTATCAATCATGATTATGTGGTTGATATGTTTGTTGTTAACGTGGACAAATGTTTTCCAAGAAGGTGATCAAGCAAGAACTGATGTAAGACTTAAAGTGTTGACTGACGCACCATGGTTCAGAGTTCCTTATCCCTTTCAATTTGGTTGGCCAACATTTACAGTTTCAGCTGTTCTTGGGATGTTAGCAGGTGTCTTAGCATGTACTGTCGAGTCATTAAGTTACTATCCATTAGTTGCGAGAATGTGTGGTAAGAAATTTTTTATGATTTCAAATGAAAAAGAAAATTTTTAAATTCTAAATTAGACGCTGCTGCACCACCCGTGCATGTCATGAATCGAGGAATTCTACTCGAAGGCATTGGTTGCATATTAGCTGGAATGTGGGTAAGTATAATGATTACACAAAACGTTCAAGGACAGTTGAAGAATCTTTTAACCTTTCTTAGGGAAGTGGTAATGGAACGAACACATTTGGTGAGAATGTTGGAGCTATTGGAGTCACAAAAATAGGTTCAAGACGTGTCATTCTATGGGCATCTGTCATTATGATGATTCAAGGTGTTTTTGGAAAACTTGGAGCGATTTTTATTCTCATTCCAGATCCCGTTGTTGGTAATAAATATTTCTTAGTTCATTTTTAAAGAACTTTCAATTGTAAAAATTGGAATTTTTCCAAGGTGGAATGTTTCTCATCATGTTTGGAATGATCACTGCATTTGGAATCTCTGCCCTTCAATACGTCGACTTAAAATCTTCAAGGAATCTTTACATTATTGGCGTTTCATTATTTTTCCCACTTGTGCTATGTCCATGGATGCAGAACCACCCTGGATCAATTAACACTGGAATTGAAGTGATAGACTCGACATTATCGGTTCTGCTTGGAACGAGTATTTTAGTTGGTGGTGCTTTAGGTTGTCTCTTGGATCACATTGTGCCTGGAACTGATGAAGAACGTGGAGTGATTGCTTGGGCACTAGAATTGGAATTGAAAACTGACAGAAGTTCTGTTGAAGCTTCGACATATGATTTCCCATATGGAATGGATTTATTAAAAAAAATCAAATGGTCTTATTATATTCCGTTCTCACCAACCTATGGAATGAAGCGACCTTGAAAACCTTAGAGATACTTAAAACTATAATAAATAAATTCGTTTTAGATCACAATATTTATCTGTTAACAATTTATTTAGAAGCTCTGTTTGTCTTTCTATAAAACTTTATGTCATCCTCGTGATAATTTTACGATCAAACCTTATAAATTGTCGTTGGCGATTATTTCAGATAAGATTTTACAGCTATGTTGGCTGTTTAAACTCTTTTATGTTAGTTGTCAATCCCAATCTATTCAAACTTTATTTCAGTTCAAAAGTTAATTGAAAGTTATGAAACATTTGAAACAAGATCGTCTGCTCATTCAATCAATTTGTGTTATTTTAATTGACTGAGATTTCATAACAGAAATTCTTCATTTAGAATTTCTTCTGAGAATATTTTGTGAAGTTCACAATGAAGATGTTGGCACAACAATAATTTCAAGTTGACTGACATCTGCTCGTTCCGCCTTTATTGTGATCCAATAAAAGATTAGATAAGACATTTTTCGGGGTAATTTAGTGAATTTATTGTCATCTTTATGTCGGTGAACGTTGTAAAAGTTTAAGCAAATAGATATTTGCCGTGACATAGATTAAAAATGAGTGAAAACTTTCTTTTGAAAACTTCACGAAATCTGGAAATAAAAATTCAATGATGAAAACATTAAAACTTTACTTATATTGAATTTTATTCAATTTAGTAATTAAAATTTACATCAATATTTGTTCAAAACACTTTCTTAGCCAAAGGATTGAAATTTTGAAAGAAAATATTCTCAATAAATTCAATATCATTCCGTAATTCTTTTTATTGCTGTTTTGCTTTGATATTTGATCAACTTCATTCAAACTTAAAGTTCTTCCATTTTATTGCGATTTGTGTTTCATATAAAAATCAAAACTTGCGGTGAAATCGTCGATCTGGTAAAATAAATTTTGTTGCGTTGAAAATTTAGGTATAGGTATTTCTATTATTTTTTCTTTCGTTAATAAAAACTTCCTGAGTTTTGTTGTTTTGTTATGTGTAGTTACTTATGAGTCTCTCATCGTCTTCACTTCATTAAGCAAATACATTTTTTCGGTTGACAAATAAGTTGGAAAACGAAAGAACTTTTTTACATGTTTTTGTTTTGTCTGTTGGCATGTGATTGTTAAGGATAATTAATTGAAGTTGAAAATATTGCATTAAAAATAAATATTTAAGAGGTAAACGTAATTCAAATATGGTTTAACTTGGTACGGTTTATCTTTTTGTTTGGCAGGCATATTGCAATGTTTTACATTTTTATTTATTTAATAAACATAATTCAAAGAATTAACATAAGATTCGCTTATTTACACGAAACTTAAATGTTCAAGTTGAGCTTTGTTGAAGAACTCAACTTCAAAATTTTCTCTCTGTTTCATTTTATTTATTCTTCGTTGCCAATTTAACTTCCTAAATACATTAATTTAATTTTTTTTTTCATATTTTTTGAATCATCTAAACAACATTGAAAGCATTTTTTATGCACTTTAATTCTTTTCTTTGTTAAATAAATTTCCTTTAATTATGTCTCTTGCGTTGAATTAGTAAAATTTTTCAATTATTTAATATCTTTTGAGACTTTTCCTTTGTTTCTTAATGTTCCTAATTTTTTTTTCCGAAGAATTGTGACCACAACATCAAATTATTTGCTTCATTGATTTCCTTTTATTAGATAATATTAATTTTTGTGTCACAAGAAGTCATTGAGAGATTTTGAATTATTATTTTATAGGAATTTCACATCAAATTTTGAGATGAATTGAAATTCTCGTCAAATTTTACAATAATTTTTTTTCATATTATCATCCATAATCATTGTTAAGTCTTACAACCCTCCAAGAAAAATGAGTGGAACTGATTCAATCGAAAGTGTTTACAACGAGAAGAATTTACAATAAGCATTGTCCAAATACATTGATTGAAGAGAAAAAAGAGTCGTGAAAATTGACTAAAATTTTAGTGACGTGGTGGGTGGCGTGCAACAACTTTTAAAAGTTTACTTTGCGTGCAATCTTTAAAAAATAATTGTCAACGTTAACTCATTAAATTGCATCGTGTAGAAAAGTTTTATTTTTTTGTCTTTTAAATCTTAAATAGCTTAGGAACATTGAGACTAAAAATAATTTGATTATTTACATCACTTCAATAAAAATTCATCGCTCTTATCAAATGAAAACACTTCGTCCAACTTCTCTTCTTTTCCCTCTTTGTTTATCACACTTTTGATTTTTAATTTTAAAAAGTTTCAAATATTTACAAAGATGTATAATCTTTTCATTAATTATTTTAAATTTCTTTGTTTCGCGTCTTTTTTCTTTACTTCCTTCTTCGGGTAAATAAAAGGTTCCACGTGTATAAAGAATAATTTTCATGACTATGGTAGACATCTATTAAAAGGTTGTAACAATCTTTTTTTCACAAATTTTCATTGATTTTCTAATTATTTTCTTAATCCTTTTTCTAGATTCTAAAGAATGGACGACATTATGCAAATTTAATGGTTTTGAAATGAGTGAGCATGAAGTATTGTGATTTTACTCATCAATAACTTCTTCCATCATTTTTTCGATTATTTATTTATTTATTATTATTTATTTTCTTTACAAAACATCAAACATTGATTATAATTCAATTTAAGATCTTTTCGTGTCTTATTGCCTAAAATTTTCCATCTGTTCTTTTAACTTCTAATTTGCAATCCGATTTTTGCCTTGCTCTAAATTTGTACAACATGTTTCTTTATTCCCCTTTTTGTTAGCAATAATTCATTTAAATCATTGATCTTCTTTTTAAAGTCGAAAGTTTAAATTTTAACACCATATAGACAAAAAGTGACGAAAGACAATTTTTTTTTCATCTTTATTATTACCCGAAACCTATTTTTGAGTCTGAATTTTAATGCCAGAAATGTTTTCATTCATTTATTTGCGTGTAAAAATCTAATTCAGTTTTATTTTGTAAATCTTTATGATCATTTATTGATTGGTTATTTCTTTTCTTTTTTATTTAGGCAAAAAACTTAATCCATGCTATTGACTTGTTTTTATCCGTTTGATTTGTTCTATTTAACTTTGAGGTACATTGATTTTGGCACAGTTTAAAAATACTTAAGTATTCGTTTGAAACTAATCAGAGAAAACAGTAAACATACAACAAAATATTTTTTTACACTAACAAACATAGCGACTCTCAAACTGCATGCATTTAAGCTCCACCAAACGGTTTGAGAATATTAGTTGTAACAGTTTGAGAGTCACTGATGAACTTAGATTTATAACAAAAACTTGTAGATACATAAATAGTTTCATTTTTGATGACATAAATCACAGACTCTCAAATAACATTTTACTTTTTAAACTTCGTAGGAAGCTTTCTGATCATACCGTTTGACGGATCACTTGTTTTATGGTAAAAGTTTTTAAAAGTCTTTGAGTCTAACACCTTTTATTCAGCTCAAATGTAGCTTAGAAAACTTGATCAATTCGTTTTTTATCTAATTTCACTCTCCATTGCAACTCATTTTCGCTTTCTCTTTTATGATCGATTGAAAAAATTGTTTACTGCATTTGAGTTTTAAACCTAAAAAATCTTTCTTCATCTCTGTTTTCCATATTTCTAATAGAATTATAAAATATATTTTGTAAACCTTTTTTATATTGCATTCATTCTCGCATTGTTCATTCTTTCATTTCATTTTAAACAACTCAAAGGACTAAACTGTAAACATATACTTTATATTTTGAGGTAACATTTTGCGTTTCTTTAATTGTTAGTTATTTCTTTGTTCGTCAATTGTCGCTTTCGCCATACGAAAAGCTTTCTTTGACCATCCTACTCGTTGGTAATGTAAAAAGTTTCTTATGAGCAAATATCACTCACAAATTGATTTGTAATAAATAAAATGGAGAATTTTAAAACTTATTTCGTTGATAAAAGTGTCTGTTGTATAGTTAAAAATTAATTAAAACTTTTCTTTAATTCATTGTGATTTAGTGACTGTCGTTTTATTATATTGCTTTGTTGTGGTCATCGATAATTTGGTTGTAATCCTCAATACTCAATTATTTGCGGAGGAAATGACGTCTCCGCCTTCCTAGAAAACATTTATTTAAGTTTAAGTGTGAAAATCCTTTAATATGATTTGCAAACCTAAATCTCAGCGTTGTTGTTGACTTTGAGTATTGTGAACGTGAGTTGTCAAATGTTTCGACAAATAATCAGCTCGTGCAAAACATTTTCCACAAGATTCACAGTGATACGGACGTTCTCCCTGAAAATTTGTATTTATTTAGGAAGTTGAAAGAATATTTTTGTACATCAACTCACTGTATGAATTCTCAGATGACGAGTTAAGTCGCTTTTACCACCAAAAGCACGTCCACAAAACAAACAAACAAAAGGCCTCTCGCCTAAAGCATGAGAAATTAAATATATTTATATCTCAAATCTAATAAGAATACAAACCTGTATGCTTCCTAACATGAAGCTTCAAGTTTTCCTTCGATCGCACACATTTTCCACAAAACGGACATGCAAAACGTTTGTCTCGCTGCTTTTCAGCCGCATCCACCCGTAAAAAATTCAATATAGAAACTTCCTGAGAATTTAAACCCATCAAGTTTTGGTTCGTGATGCTTTCTGCACTTAGTAAATTTTTCAAAGACGCACTCGATCCTTGCAAGGGAAACGGATTCACCATTGAAGGCATAGTGAAGTTCCCAGACGATTCTGCTTCGTGTTTTGCGCGCATCTCATTTAATTCTTGCTGTAAATTCTCTGAACTGGTTATATTGCCATTAGTTTCTTGTTTATCACATTCAGTTATTGCACTACTATTCGACTTATCTGTAATATCACCACCAGTATTGTTATCAGTTGAAATACTTGTATTAGGATCGCTCAATTGGTTATTGATAAGATTATTAGAGGAAATATTTATATTGCTATTTGTATTGCTAATGGAATCGATTGTATCATCTTGATCCTGATCATCAAGCAGCATTTGTTCATCTTCCAAGCTTATGACGCCTTTTGGAATGCCACTGTCGTCGTTTGTACTTGAAACCATTAGTTCACCCGAATTTTCACCCATTTCCTTCTTGCCATGCAAACGTTCCAACGCATGATTCAATCGATGCTTTTTAAATGACTTTAAATATCGGAATTGCATTCCACAAACGTCACATGTGAACAATTTATCAGCTGGTAAACGATTAGTACGATTAGGATTATTTGAATGATCTTGAGGATTATTCAAAATCGATGATTGGATGCAGCAATTATATCTGAATATCAAAAGTATTTCATTAATCAGAATTAATGTTAATCAAATAATGTTCTTACCGATAATTTTGTCCGCAATGTTCACATTTTATCGGCTTCTCAGTACAAGACAACTGACTATGTTGAAGTGCTGTGTGTTGTTCCAAAAGCCAAAGTGATGGAAAATTTGCCATACAAATGTGACATTTTAATTCATCGGGATCGATGAGCATAGCAGAAACAGCAGCAGCTGAAATTGAGGTTGAAGTCTTTTCTGGTAACAATTCGGATTCAGGACGGGCTTTAATTTTGGGTGTGGAACGACAATCTTCTTTTGTAAGATCGATTTCTGATGTGGACGAGGGAGTTTGCTTCTTGGATGGTATCATATCATGGACGTGATCTTTATCAAATCTAGATTTGTGTTGTTGATCTGAAGAGATTTTAAAAAGTTCAATGGATGGCTTAGTGTCGAGATAAGGACTGGAACTTGAGGTGGATGGCATTCCAAACAAGTTTCTATATTTAAGAAGTTCTTCAGCGAGTAATGATTGCTGATGGAGCAAGTGCAGAATCCGATTTGGATCGATGGCAGCATTTCTATCATTTCCATGAACATCAAACAATCCCATGCCAAGAGAGAAAGGAGAAAACGGGAAGTGAAATGGAGATGGAATCATCATTGAAGGAGGTTGTGAAATTTGAGAAGTAGAAGGCGAAGATTTCAAACGATTAAGACCGCTCATTATTGATGTCGATGCTTTTGGAAGTGATAACAAACGTTGATACTTTTCTCTCTATAAAAGAAAAAGAAAATGTTTGATTAAAGAAAATAATTTAAATTTTGCATAACTTTAAGGCGCAGAAAAAACTCTTGTAATGTTTTACAGCATTTTATTTCATCATCAAAAGTGTGTGTGGGTGTGTTTTATGTTTTTTTTCAAATTTTGTTATGATAACTATTAATTGTAATTGATTTACAACTATGATATGCATTCTTTATTTTGTTAAAAATGTTTTTTTCTTTTTATTTTAAATTCAAAATGGCTGTTGGTTGTCCTAGAAAGTAACACAAAAAAAGTTTTCTTTTCATTCATTTTAATTTTCTGGCCGATCGAATATCATTTTTCTCTCATCTGAAACAATAGTAATATGCTTAACGATTAGACTTAATAGAAAAATTTACTAAACATAAATTATGTACAACAATCAGTCAGATTAGCACATTTTTTTCTTTAACATTTTTCATCGTTCTTGAAGTGCCGTATTCAAACTGATTTATTCTATTTTAGCTGAAAATTCATTATGTCTCATCGTATTCAATTTGATGTTGTAATTTTTTTATTGCATCCTGTCATTTCAACAAAAATTGCAATAATGAGAATTCAAAATTGAGAGAGAAAACCCAAAATAACTAAATAGGAACAAGTTTTCATCAAATCAATTTTCCTTTTCTGAAAACAAATTTTCACACTTTTTGTTTTCAATATTTTTTTTATAATATTTGAAGTTTAAAAATATTTTTATTTGTGCTCATGTTGAAACTTTTCTTTTGTGTGTTTCTTCTAATGTTCAGAGTCAAAGGATTTTCTTTAAATAATTGCATTATGAATTTTCTTGTCGATTAGAAATAAAGCAATGAATTTTCCTTTCTAAACTGCTTGTGAAATCTGCGTGAAAAAAATTCTTTTTTGATATTTAAACGTGATGAACCTTAAGTGCACAAGCAGCAATACAAACTAGAAAGGAAAATGTTAATCATTTACTCCAAATATTAACTGAAGATTGCTTTCCACTTTCACAGTATTTCAGTGACAGAAAAGCTTCAACAAACAGTTGGAGAATGATTTTTGCTGTTTGAAATCTTTACTTTTTGAAATGTTTAAATGAAAACTGATCATTTGGAAAAATCGTTTTACAATTTATATCACTATGTTTATTAAATGTTTTTTCCTTGTTTTTATATATAAATATTGGGAGAACAGGCACTACAGTGTAAAATATTTTTTACTTTTATCTTCTCTCTTTTATTTTAACTTCTTTTGTCCACATTTCCATTCACATTTTTTATTTTTAAGTCTTTTCAACTTAAAACATTTGCTGCTTCGACATTCTTCGACCGAGATTTGATTCAGAAGATTTTCTGTTTATTATTTTTTATTTGGTAGAACGAAAAAGTTTTGTGTTAATTTTTTCTTATATTTGCAGAAAACTAAAAAGTGTTTTGAATATTCTTTCATAATATTTCTTTAATAATCTTACTCTGTCTGCCACGTTATTAAATGTTTATTATTATTAATAGCTTGGCACTCAAATAATTGCATTTTCTATTGGAAAAATCCACTTTGTGGCCTTCCCAACGAAAGTAGAAGTCTTGTTGCCCTATCCGGAAATCAACATTTACGCAATTCGAATTCTATCATTAATAATTTTCATAATCAAGTGAAATATCTTAAACGAGGGTATCCCAAAACTATTAAGCTATTTTTGTTTTCTTATTCTGTGTTTGGATTTATTTTTCAGGTTCTGTTGTGTTTAACATCTATTTGCAAAATCAATTTGATGAATTTTCAACAGTTTGTTTTGTATTTGTAACTATTTCCATTCTGTGGTTTCTGTAAATTTTTATTTATTGGTTCTATTGATAAATTGATATCATTTGAAATATTTCAATTGAGTTTTTTTTTGTGTTTTATGGAAGAATTTGAGATGCCCCTGAGCTGCTATTTCTTTATATTCTTTTAAATGAACGAAAAACTAAAACAGGAAAAATTGGTAGGTAAAAAAATACACGAAAATCAATGTTGCTGTATGGAAATTGATCAACAATCATCTGTTGGAATCTGAAGAAAAATTAGTTAAATTCTTTCAGTATTATTCCTTTTATCTCTTGACTCTTACAAACCTTATTTTGTGAATTATTTTATTTATAATTTTTAAGAGGCACTCTAAGCGTGAAGCACGGTGGAAATGATTGAAACTTTCATGGATCGTCCTCCAACAATCTCAATCATTCACACATCGCTTATTTGGGTTTTTTGTTTGAAATATTTTCACATTTTACTTTAACTTTAATGCCGAGCATGAAAAAATAATTCCAACACTTTTTTTCTCGTAAGAATGTGTGTATGTGTGTCAGGGGTGTCAACTATAAGCAGCGTGTGCTGAAAAACTAACAAAACTTTATCTTTTCCTTTGTTTATATCGAAATATTGTTGAATAATTCATCTAAAGATTCTATCAAGCTTTTAAATTTTCTTTTTCTTGAAAATGTAAATTTTTATGTACAATCAAAAGCTTTTATTTAATAATTTTTTCTCTACTGGAAACTGTGAAATTATGATTCCTTTTTATGTCGAAACTTATTGTTTAAGCCGTACTTTGTATGGTTTCGAAAAATTATTGCAGGAAAGTCTTCCTATCGATTTTTATTTTATTTTATCAATTGACTCAAAAGTTATTAGTGGTTTTAATTTTTGTTTTGTTATTGAATTGATATGGTTCTTGAAGACCTTATTTCTTTTGTAAGAACATAGTTTAAAGTATAGGAATGTTTATTTTTATTCATCTTGAATTCAAATCAAATCATACAATTATACTCGGGTGTAAGATCAGTGACGTAAAATTCAGGCAAAGTCTTTTTCTTTTCAAAATTAAGTTAATTAAATAATTTTACGAAGTCAAGTAGCCAGAACAATCATCAAAATTTAATACAATTTCCTTCTATTGCTTTGAATTCTAAGTCACTAAAACAACAACCAACCAAATAATGAACGAAAGCAGCAAATTAACTTTAAGACTATTTCATTTTCTTTAATGTTTTCTTTTTCTTAAAAACTAAACATCTAAGGGCATTGAAATTAATTAAAAAATATTTTTTCGACTATAATCGTTCCGAAAGGTACAGCCAAATGTTTTCTTTTTTGTTTTCTTAAAATAAAATCACATTTTGAGATCCATAACGTGCCAATAATTTTCTCATTTTTTTTGTAAAAAAATTTCAATTTTAGTCAATTTTCTTCATCCAAAAGTTTTTTTCTTCATCTTTTCTTTTACAAATTTTGTTTCCAAAGTTTTTGAAGCTTTTAGCTTATAATTTTAAACATAAATTTAATAATTCACAGCCAATAATTACATTTTTGAATTTTTTTCTTTCCTCTTTTCTCTCATAAAGAAACCTAAATTTAGAAAGGAAATATTTATAAATTTATTGACTCATAAATCTCAATCCTTAAAATTTGTATAATTTTGATATAAATTTTTGGTTTCGAAAAAATATTTTTTGGTCATTAATTTCATTTAACATGTTTCATGTTTTTGTAATTTTCAACCTAAACATTACGCTAATTTAACTTCTAAAACGAATTTGTAATCAACAAAAATATTTTTGTGTGTGGTTTGATTTTTTCCTTTTTGATTGAACTGATAAACTAATTCAACATAATTTTAAATAAATATTTATCCAAGTTCTTAATTAAAAGAAAGTTTTTTTTGCGATATTAACGCGATTATTTAGGAAAGTTTCAGCATCTTTCCTAACACAATAATTATTTAAACATGGTTTTTTCTTTTGTTTTAAGGAACGTCTTTGAAAATGTCAAAGAATCTACTAATTATAAATAAAAGATCAATAATAAAAATAAATAATTCAATTGAACTTCACGACGATTAAAAGGGTAACGAAAATGTTTAAACTTGGTTCTTTTTTTCAATTTATCTTTACTTATTTTTGTTTTGTCATTTCCTTTCGTCAGCTTTTTTTCCATCTCATCACATCGATCAACAATAATATTCAAATAATCATCGATCACGTCTGATAATCAATGAAGAAAGAAATAAGAACTGGGAGGCTTGTAACAATTACAATTACGATCTCAAGAGATTAAAATGTAAAAAAAATTCTCGCTAAAATTAAAACTAATATTCACTAAACTTCACTTGCTTAACAGCCATTTAAAAGGGAGAGAAGATCTCAACTCTGAATTCCAATTGACTGCATTTAAAGTGATTTTTTTATATAAAATTGTGATAATGATTAATAATTATTATTGAAGTGTAACAGAAAGAAAAATCATGGGAAATGGAAAAACTATTGCATCGATATAAATTTTCTTCTGTTCTATTTCTCTTTAACTATTTTGATATATAAATATTTCTGATAACTATTTCATTTTATGACATGAAATAATAACGGTTTGTAAGTTTTTTTTTCATTTGTTTTGTATTTTAATTATTGTTGTGGGTTTATGGGGGTATATAAAACATTTTCTTTTATCAGATTTAAAGAACTCAAATTGATTTCTTCACGTGTTCCTTTAACATTCATTATTGTAGATGACGTGAAATCTGTTTGGGGAAGGAGTTAAAGTGGGGAAATTGTAGATAAATATATGGTTCAGTCAATTGTATACAACAAGAAAAATCTAAATGAAAAGTCATGCATGTGACTTATTTATTTTGCACATCATGAATTAAACTCTCCCTTTCTCATTTCCTTTCTTTCCTCTTTTTAAAAAAATTCTTGCCGTCTCTCCTTATGCAAAAAAAAAACAACTTTCTTTCACCCTTTTTACAAATGTTTCATCTCATAAACATCTTATCCATTCACTTCATTTAAAATCACAGATTTTCTACTATATTGTAATGCTTTTCCTTATATCCAATTAGAATTCATAATAAAGTTGAAGATTCAGACAATCGATTAATAATTTTCGCGCAAGATGATATCAGAAAAAGGTTAAGAAATATTTTCACTTCGCTTCGCTATCGATAATATCTTGCGTGGGCGTTTCATGTCAATTGGTAAATTTTCTTTTTCTCCATCATTCACTTTTTTTTATATGTAGGTAGCACCAATATACTAATTATTAATTTTATGATCGCTTGTATTTGCCGAATAAATTGATAGCGGGTAATTAATTTGAATGTGAACGCGTTGATTTTAATTTCAAATCAGTTTGACGTAAGTTTATGCAATTTTTTGCTTGTTTATGTGAAGTTCTGCATCTTCCTCTGATTTCCTTTTTAAAAAATATTGCTTTTCATAAAAGTTTATTGTTGAAAATTGATGATGTTGAGTTGGGTTTGGTGATATTAATAAAAAGTTAGTATTCCAGAAACACTGCGTTTACTATTGTTGTGCATCGTCTTTGCTATCAACCGGACTTGGCGAAAGAAACTTTCTCACATATTTCGGATAATGTGTCTTCTCGTGAGCTTTTAGAATAGTGGAACGTGAGAATGTCTTACCACACATGTTACAACGAAACGGTCTCTCTCCTAGAATGAACGTCATTTTTATCGAAATTCCAATTTCAATTCAATTATCGTTAAATTGCACAACACTCACCTGTATGAACACGACAATGATCTTTCATATGATGACGAAGTTTGAATGCTTTTCCACAAAATTCACATTTAAAAGGTCGATCGCCTGTGTGAACAGGCAGATGAGTGATAAGTGAAGAGACGTCGGGAAAAGATTTTCCACAAAATTTACACAGCACAACACCGCCAGCGTTGCCAGCGTTAGGGTCATTATTTGATGAATTACTCGTTCCTGGGTTGCTAAAAGGATTCTCCATTTCCATCTGTGAGTTCTCCAGTTGCTCCATCGACGAATCTATTGAAGTTTGTCGACTGGCAAAATGTGATGGCGGAGGTAGATCGTGCGGTAGAAATCCTGAAAGTTGCGGATGTCCAAGCAGATGTGACACTTCGCGATATTTCAGCGTCTCCAGTGAATGTGACAAAATATGACGTGTCAACTTACTTTGATGGGGAAATGTTTGACCGCAGTACATACACGGATAAATTGGACCACTATTGTTACTAACACTGCTATTTTGTTCACTAGAAGATGAAGACGACAGTGGCAAACCGACAACTACTCCACTACTACTCGCTCTTTCACCACCATGAACGTCCGTCGACGATTCCTGCAACCAAACAAAAAGAAAAACCATCAACTTCTTTGTCAAATTGTGTTTGTCTTGAAGCTATTTTTCAATCTTTCATTTAAAGTTTAATTTGTCTATTTGAAGCGCTATTAGTTACGAAAATGTTTGAGAGATAATATCTTCTAAAGTTCTTAACTTTAAAAAAGCTCATTCGTATGTTATTTTCAGAGAAAAATTTCGTGTTTCTATTTCATTTCGCCAAGCTGAGTTAAACTAAAATAAATAAATTAAAATAAAAGATTGTGAATGGAAATTCTTCTCCATTTATTTTCACTATAAAAATTTAAGCAGCTCATAAAATGTTCTTTTTTTTCAAGTTAATTTCTTTTGTCTCTAAGACTAGAAAAAAATATTGTTCGGGAGATTAAAAGTAAAAAACAAAATCAAATGAAAGTTTGTAAAATAAAAAATATCTAAAGAACCAAAAAGAAAATCAAAAAGAAAGAATTTTTAGATATATAAGAAAATTTACAATGGAAAACCATTTTAATATCCTTTAAAATTAATGCTAATTAATGTTTTAAATTCAAAGTCAAATCATCATGTTTCTTAAGTATCGGCTTTGTCTCTGTAATTTTTCAAGAAGTTGAGGTTCGATTTTTGTCTGGAGCTGAAACGGGGACGGTTTTTATGGTGTGGAATCGCATTTCTTTTTATCACTTTTTCACACGTCAAAAATAAGTAAACAATTTTGTAAAAATATTCAATTCACTTTAGAATTGCGTAAAAGCTTAATTGCTAATTGTTTCGCTAGAGTTAAAGACTCAATTAAAATAATTTTGATGAATTCTTATAAATAATTTATTTTGCGTGTCAATTTCAAAGATTTTTTTGTTTCATGTATAAGATTCGATTCAAAAAACAACATAATTAAAAACAACATTTTACAAGAAAGTATATAATTAAATAAAGGATATAACATGATGTTAGAGTTGTGCAACGATTTTCCCTCTTTTAGATTTTTAGTTTTTCTTAAAATTAAGAAAATGGAAAATTTCCGAAAGAATCTCAAAGAGACTTGCACAACTTACAATCATTGGAACAAATCATACGAGAAAATCAATTGTTGAATTGAATTAATAATTTTTTTCTTTTGTAAAACAAAAAGAATTGAAAAAGAATATTTAAGATTTTGTTTTTCGACAATAGAAAATGAAAATGAAACTAAAAAATATGATTATAGCACAGCCATGTTCAAAAAACGTAGATCAACTTCTTGACATAATTAAAAAAAGTATAAAATATTTAAAAATGTATTTTTTTTATTCTTTGAGAAATATATCAAAACAAACACATGAGCTTGATGAGAACAATTTAAACATTGAGATGATATACTTAAACATCAATTTATGTACATTTATGCAATATTTCAACAACAATTCAACATCTAAGTAAGTAAATGAAAAATTATGTCCATGAAGGTTCCCCCACACAACAAATATTAACACAAATATGCAGACTACAATACATGAAAGGAAAAATAATTTGAAAAACATAAAAATCGATACAAAAAATATGTAACGAGAATTTGTTTGTTTATAAAATTCATCAAAGCGACATTTAAAGCTTCTGCTTTTCTTTTTCCTACAACTCAATTTAAATGTTTGAAGCATTAACGAACGGATTTTCCCTTCCCATCAATTATCTCAGTCAGAAGAATTAAAACGATGCATGAATGACGTTCGTAGACGATTATTTGTGTTTATTAAGCAGACTTGAAAATTCACGACGCACAATTCTCAAAAGTGTTATACTTGCACTTTTACGACAAATGGATGTGTTGCAACAAATAAGTATGAATGAATGAAATTTCTTATCACGATGAGTGAATTGCGTCTGAAGGATATTTAAAGTGTTGCATTTTAACTATTCAGTATTCCTCAAACAACAAGGAAGAGAAAAAAAGACTTCAGAAACTTTTAGTTGTACATGTTGTATGAAGTTAAGCACTGACTTTGAGGTAAAAGTGCATAAAAGAAGGAATAAAAGTATATGCGAGAAGCAAGTGGAAATTTATCGATCTGTCTGGAAATGCAAACGTTAAAAATTCTGCGAAAAGGCAAGAGCTTCATCAAAAGCTTTAACAATGCACCACTTATTGCGTTTACATCGTAATTATCAGAATTGCGTTAAATTTTCAACGCGGTTTTCATGTGTAATGATTGCGTTGTCGTTAATACCGCGTACATTGGGGGATATGCACTTCACAATTTTACATTGCACATAAGCAACGACGAAATGAAAGAAATCGATGTGATTAAAGCATAATGCTTGTGGTTTTTTAACGTAATCATAATATGAGAATGCATGAGTTGCTTGCAATGGTAGAGCGCGCCTAAATAGAAGAAATCATTACTCCGTCATTATCGTTCCTGGAAAATTATAGTTGTGAAAGAGTGCATGCGTTTTATAGAATAATCTAAAATGCACATAAGATCGTTAGCGATTATATGCTTGCTCAAAGCCCTTTCTCTTTTTTCCTTTCCTTTCCAATCATCGACAAAAATTATTTCTTTAGAAATTTTCAATTTTCCCATCAAAAACTATAAAACTTTCCTACTCGCTTCACATTTCATTATTAAGATGACTTTAAGCGATGCCAAACCAGAGGCAAAAGTGCAAATTACATCAATAAGCAATCATTAGAAATTTAATGAAAAATTAAAGTGACTGAGTTGTGTCGCTTTAGTGTTTCGCAGTTAGAAGGAGGCAACAAACATTTTCCTACATAACCAAACGAAGAATCGTGTGGGCGGGTAAGAGAGAAAGAAAGAGAGATTCAGTAAAAACTGACGCTAAAAACATTCTGCGAAATGAGTTTAATTAAATTAATATTTAACAATTATCGATTCGATTTTTCCGTCATCAGTTGTCATTGGAATTTATCATGAATAAAAATTTAATCTTTATGATTGAGAAGAAAGCTTGAATAAAAGTTTCCGATGAAATATTTCAAGTTTTTCTAGCCACTTCTCAGCCCGTCCCATTAATAGCCTTAAACACTCTTTGAATGATTATATGACTGAAATAAACACCAAATAAAAAAATTCTACAAGCTTCCAACATGTTTTTCTATTTTTCCTTGAGATAGTTTTAAAAACTTCTCTTTCTTCATTAACTAACTAACAAAGGCAATATTTATGTACATATCTAACAACTAAATACAACTTAAGCAGAGTTAAAATAAGTAAGCAAAATAAAGCAATTCTATTTTATTGCCAACTATTATTATGTACAAAATAAGTTTACTTCAATGCACTAAACACCACAACTTATAAAATACAAAACAAACGAATGAATAAAAATCAACGCAAACTGAATGAAAAATCTTTCCATGCAAAGGTGGAGTGAGAATTTTCCTTATTTTTTATTCGGCAGACATGAAAATTTTCTTTACTTTTTTTTTGTTTTGATTTATTTGCCAAAAATTTTACACGATTGTCTAAAAATGCCTCAATTTCTTTTCTATTTTTTAAATGCAGAAAATATTTTCCTTGCAGCCCCGATTTTCGGAGGAATTTTTATTTTCTTTTTCATCAAGAAATTGGCTTAAAAACATGCAAAGCCTTAATTTATGATTCTAAAATTTTTTTTTTTTTCGTTAAAACTAAAATTTGTTTTCATTTCACCCGAAAATTTATTACGACAGGAAAAAAAAAGCTTTCAACTTACCATTTCGTGCGAGTGTCGGTAGTCAGACGATGTACTTTCCTTATCATCTAAACGATCCCAATCTGATTCCTTTTTCAATGACTGCAAATGTCGGAATTTAACAGAAATAAATTTTCAACTAAATTCCAAAGCGAACAAAAAATTGGCTTTAATGTTTTTGTGAAACTTACCAATGGCGCGTGCTGAACCGGTCCGATACCAGATGGCCCCGGCATGTCCGATGTGAGAGGGCTGTGGCGTGTCCCACTTGATGTATTACCCAATAAACTGGAGGTGTAGCGAGATGATTGTATGTCTGATAAAGATGTTGTTGAATTCACAGATGTCGACATCATGTTAGACGATGATATCGAGTTTTGCAGAAGAGTTGAATTGAGAGTCATATTGAGACCTGAATAGGAGATAAATTAAATGCATTTAAAACTTGCACAATTTAATGCATTTGTGCATTGCATTTGTTTACATACCAACTTCATTTTTCATTGGAACATTCTCATCGTCGTCGTCGTCATCTTCCAATGATTCATTTCTCTGATGATGCGTGCGATGATCATTGAAACTCGGCTCTTCTTTTATAATCGAATCTATATGATGTGACCTGCTGCCAGTAACAGATGTTGTCGTCGCAGATGCTGACGAACTTGTTGTAAGTTTCTTCTGGTGGTAGAGTGATGAGCCGGGTGATGAAGGGATACGAGAGGGAGGCGATGGGCTGTAATTCTCATTATCGAGTCTCTGCCGTTTATTCGACAATTCCAGAATCTCGTTCTTCACGGACGACGACGGCGCTGATGCCGAAGGCGTCGTTGGTGTATGCAATCGAACACGTTCTGAATCACGTTCCTGTTCTTTCAAAGCTGTATTTTGATTGGTCATTTCTGCTAATCCCTTAACCTGTGATTGAATCAAAGATAAATCAATGACAAAATGAATTGAAAAATAAATAAGAAAATCTCTTACTTTTAATGATTCAGCTGTTTTCAATAAAGCTGATAATTGACAATATTCCACGTTTACTTCGCCTTTATACATGAATTCAATTAATGTTCGCAATTCACTGAATCGAACGTCTTTAAGTATAACGATGGGATGTCTGGCGGGGTGATCCAGAAAAAGGCTTTGGAAATATGAAGAACAGGCAGAGAGAACAACCTGCAATTGAGAAGGTAAAAAAGAAACGGAAATGTTTGTGAATCTTATAAATTATATTTATTCTCGCTAATTATGAAATGCAATTAAGTTATTTAATAAATGCTACAGAAACAGAAGGCGTCATAAGTCATAATTCTTTAACAATGGACTTTTCTTCACTTCGTATTTCGTCCGTTTCACATTAATTTAAGTCACTGTTGTTTCTTCCCATTTCTTTCATTCTTCTTCATAAAGATTTAAGGAAGTTTCAATTAACAATATTCTAATTGTTGTTTTCTTTTTAAATCATCAAAACAAACTTTGCGAAGATAAACTTTTCACTTATAAGTACCTCCTAAGGCAATTGCCTCAATCTTTGACATTTTAAAAGTTGATTGAAATCTCCAATAACTTTATTACTATCAAATGCAAAAGCACTTGACCTCGTTTAGAAAGAAAAAAAAACTCTCTAAGATATAAAAAAAATAAATTCGCATTTCCTTAAACGTGCATTTGTTGATTGTAACTATGCAATCATATCAGTCATAAAATATTATAATTATCAACATAACATAAGTAGATTTTAATAACTTGATGTGAAAAAACATGAGAAAATGTGAAAAAAGGCGAATGATGGAGAGAAACAGCAGAAAAGTGATGGTTTATATCGCACTTAAAGAAACTGATTTTTAAATTATGTTTTTGCGTCATTTATATTACTTTACTTCTCATTTCTTTCTTTTTTTGTTGCTGCTGCCTTAATTGTTTTATTTATTTATCTTTTATTGGATCGGCGCGGGTTAAAAAGAAGTTTTCATTTCACGGACATTCGCAAATGACAGTTGCGTCTTCACTTGATCGTGTGAAATGTAATCAATGCTTACGGATGACGAAATCAAACGCTACGATAAGTCTTGCGGTTTCACGATGAGTGCATTTAAATGGTAACATTGTAACCTACTGCATGCAGATGCGCGGGAGGTGCGATCAATGCTGAGATTTTTTTTTTTGTTATTTCGAATATGTGAGAAACAGTTTATCACGATTGACCCTCGAGGGCACGTAAAATGTTTCATTTCTTCTTCTCATGAAATCTTACAGAGCAAAACCGATTCAATATCTCTCACACACCATGTAAGCGATCATTCAGTAGGCGAAAACCATTTATGCTAATCTAGTTAATTATAATTAACATAGCAAATGTGTTGAAGCTTCTTCTTTCCCTTTTCTTTTCAATTCGTTTTGTTGTTTTCATGGCAATACTGAGGCATATTGGGAGGCAACTGTGAAATGCAGCGATGCACAAAAATGGGAAAATTTCTTTTCTTCTTAGGAGCGATTCGTGTCAAAAGTTCAATTCAGGTGCATTTGCGAGCACATTTAAAGGAATCATTAACTTTTATGGCTTTCGAGGCCATCTTCTTCATTGAAATAAGCTCACTTACTTTGAATAAAATTGTAAATTAAATAAATGACTTATAAATGTCTGACTTCTCTAGCATAATTTCTCTCTTTGTTAAGTGTTTCGTTAATCAGGTAAAGATTTATTAGAAGATTGAGAGGAAAGAAAGAAGGAAAAGCTCATTTGAAAAATGAGTCGAATAATTATTTATGATGCAATAATAAAGTAATTAATGCAGAAAAAGAGTTGCACTTAAACTTTATTTCCTCTCTCATGACAAGCTCTTTTTTAAAGAAGATATTAATGAAAATTAGTTTTGCTCTCGACTGTTTTGTAATGCAACCCCAACTTGGTAACTTATCTTTAATGTTTTCGGACATAAAACATATGAGAAATGAGATTTTTTTTGTTTTTATTGTTTATTGATCAATAAAGTTGTAAGTTAATATCTTTTTTGTTCGCTTCTTGCGCTGCATTTCATCTCATTTTAAATTCCCTTTCGTATTTACTGTTGAGAAGAATGAAATGGTCAAGAGAAGAAATAATGTAACTGCGAATGTTTGTAAACACTTTGTATGTGAAATGAAGAAAGAGAAATAAGAAACAAAAAATAAAATCTAAAAGACTTGCAATGTGGGCTGGAGAGCATGTCAATTAAAACATGCTTGAAAGAAAAGTTTTTATCTTATTCAACCAGTCAAAGAAAAATTCCACAAGAGTTGCAGTTAGCAGTTGCGGAAAAACGCCATCAATTGATTTTCGTGTCGTTCGTTTTGTGCATGAGATGAAATTAGCGATAATGTTGAGGACTCCACAAGATGGTAAGGAAAAGTTCAGTGTTGCATAAACTTTGACATACGACACCGTTTCGTATTTATGAAATGCTTTATTAAAATTGCTTCTTCACCTTTATCTCTTAGAAATTTATGAAAAGGTTGAGCAACTCTGTTTAAAAGGTGAAATAGACATTTCCAATGCTCATGCATTAAAAAAATCTTTTAATTTTAACGAGCGACTATTAAAGATAAGTTAATTATAAAGTTCATCGTAGGATCAACATAAAAAAGTTGTTATGCAAAAGATGAATGGTAAGCAATTGCTGTCGACGGGAAGTAGGCAAGAAAGATGATGAAACGTCTTCAAAACTTTAATAATCGTAACTGATTGATTTCTTAATCATAAAAGAATGAAATTTCAGTAAGCAGAAAATGCATTTAAATTGCCTTTTAAATGAGGTAAGTAATGAATGAAGCAATTTAAATTTTCATTTTCACGCTTCTGGATAATTGACGATCTGTTTGTAGTTACTCAATGTTTTGCATATCATTGAAATCTGAAACGCTTATCACTGCACGTGGTTAAGTTGAATGTTATTGCCAGCTTACATTTATATCTGCAGGAAAGCATTTCTAATAAAATCTAATAAAAATATTTCTCAAAGTGAAATGTTCCATGGTGGTTCGGATTGAAGAATCACATTACAAAATTAACTTTATGAGAATTTCAAATGTTTCGATTTCTATTCAAACCACCATCAAATGGTTATTTTTTAATAGCTTAATCAGAAACAACTAATGTCTGTATCGATATAAATCGCTTAACAATAATTTCCTAGTGCACGTTGATACATTTTTGCATTCCAGCTCAACTGAAAGAACAAGGTTCGAACTTCAAACCTATTAATTCGATTTTTTCCATTTACTTTAGTGTCACACAACAATAATGAAGTTGCAAAAATTCGCAGTTTTAGTCACATTGGCCAAGTGTGGTTGGAAATTGCATTGAAATTGAAAAATAATTTTTTTTATAGTTTTGCTTAGTTATTTAGTCTCGCTGTATGCTTCAAAATTAAATAATTTTCCATTTGTTGCACTTAATAATTTTCTAAGGAAAATTTAAGGAAATTGTTTTGAAAATTGTGTTATTCGTTTCATCATTGCATCTTTCCGGAATCCATGAATTCTTAGGAAAAAAAGTTCAATTGAATCACTCGATAAATGAATGAAGGAGAGAAAAATTCGCAATTCTGTAAAACGCGTTTGAAGACGACAAATATCTAATAAATAGGATGTAAGATAAATTCACGAATAATGTGTGCAATCTCTCGATTTCAATAATGTTATAAGAATGTCTCCATTGATCAAGGTCTTATAAGACACGACTTCGTTCATGTTATGTTTAGTAATAACATACAAACATTTCTCTTCCAACGTTGCAATTGAAATTGCAAATTTGAAACTACTTAACATTGATATTAATGGTAAATATTTTTTTCAGTCTAAAATGCTCATATTAAAATGAAAAAGAAAGCGCTACACGGAATAAAGTTTATCGCAGGTTTGAAAAAAAAATAAATAAATAAAATTAAAATATTCCGTTCAAATGTCTGTGTAATTTTATGTAAATTAGATGACTTCTTGTTAATCGCCAACTGCACGAAAGAGAATCCACTGGCATCGCAATGAAGTTTTGTAATCTTGCGGGGGCTGAGATAGGCAGCAACTCTTTAATAGACATTTTTTTTGAATTGCGCTTTCTCCCCACCTTCTAATCCAAAGTCTTTCATCGTGAAATATTTCCTTGAAACATGATAACACATTTTCTTGTAGCATTAAACGCTTTAAATTACTTTCGTGAATGAAAGTTTAACGGTTTGTATCATGTGAAAAGAGACTTTAAGACTCTCTTTTAATGATTGGCCAGTCTACGCCGCCCAGTGAACATTCCACAGCATTTCTGCAACAATATCTGAATGGATATTTATATTTTTAACAGATAATGAATGTAAAGTAACGTTACGCAATGAGTGGGATATGAAACATAAACATTCAATAGTTTAGCAAGCGAAAATTGCATTCAACTTTGTCTCATTTGTTTATCTAATGGAACATTTTTCATCTGAAATGTGAGACTTGATACAAATATACAAAAAGAATTCCTTTTCTCATGAAGAAATCTCTTTCATTGTTTACCACTTCGCGTAGTATTCGTCATTGTCTCTCACACACTGTTTTGGGAAATTTGAGTTTCTTAAGCTTCGTGTGTTTAGGCTTCGCACTGTTTTGCATAAATCTTTAAAACAAAAATGCTCATTTCAAATAAAATAACATAAACTAATACAAAAATATATTTTTTCATGATATGTCGTTTAAATCGGTGACTGACTTTAAACTTCATTCGCAACACCGACCTTGAATATCACAACCAACAAAAAGCGAATTGGTTGAGGTCAATATATTATATGGTTAGGCCGCAGCAATAGAAATGAGTTTGACTTCTTCTTCTCCTTTATTTTGTTCCTCGAAGCAACTTTAGAGCCGTTCGCACAGTGCGAAAAAAACGCGTTCTTTTGCCGATCACATCATCGTCATCATCATCATTGCTAGCATCACACAAATACAATCAACTTTTGAATGATTTGCAAAATAAATGAATATTCTTAAAGACGAATGATGGAAAGATCTCATGGAGCAAATCTTTTCGAGGATCATCCCATTAAGTTCATATTCATTGTCTATGTTGTTGGCAAATTTCTGATTAATTTCAACGCAATGTACATAAAGTTTGTTGATTGTATTTGCTTTTCTGCGTTCGACTCTTTGTTGACTCTTCTTATTCTCACCATATAAAAAATGTTCTTTTGACTTCTTTTTTTTTATTCGTATGAATTTAAATTTATTGTAGGTACGCGAGACTTGCAACAGTCTCGTTTGCAAAAGTCTGTGGCAGTAATAAAATGTACGCAGCAGCAAAAAAGGAATTAGATAAAGCTGTTTCTTATTTGAGCCTTCTCTTATGTTGTTCTTTGAATTTATAAATTTTTTTTGTTGGTTCTCAAAATGTGTTTCCGCATTTTATGCGCACAAAAAGTAATTAGAAAAACATTTGGGTTTTTGTGGTTCAGGTCTGATGCGTTCCAGACATTGTTGCATGGCGCGCAAAGTTTGATCATATTTTTTATTTTTTATTATCTTCGCTCCTTGGTTTTTGATGATAAAATCAACAATGAAAATTATTAGGGAAGTTAACAAAATAAACATTGTTGAGTCATAAATAGAACATAAAAGATCACTGCCTACGCACGACATGAGAAACTTTCGAATATTTTCTACGCGTTCTTGTTAATCGCACCACGTAAATTGAATTCTCACTCACAACAACGATCTTTCGCAATCTCTCTGTAATTTATGATTTTTTTTGCAATTCTTTCATTTACTAAATTACATACAACCGCCTCATTATGTTATATCCGCCTTCGACGAATTCGATTCCTGCACTCAATACTTCAGACTTTGCTCATGATTATTTATTTTTTCCGCTAAAATCATTGTTATTAAGTTTCTTGTTTCTTCTCTTTCCTTTTCTCTCTCATCATACTAACTAGGCAACAAATGTACCGATCGACAAAGTGCAATGATTTCTTACACCATAGATTTGTCACAGAGAATTTAATTTCTCGATGTGGCGTATTTCTGAGCCGGTAACAAGATTAAATGTTAAAGATAGAATGTTTGAATAATACATTGTGTGTTTAGTGCGATCACATTAAAATTGTTCGACGGGGCGGATTTGTATCTGTGTGTCTTGTCTGTCTATCAATCTATTAAAAAAAAGAAACTATTGCAATGTAATGCATCTTACCGTAATGTAAAAGAAAGATATATCTCGAGAGTGTTTTATGTGAAATGAGATTACGATCACAAACATATCTGCGAGGATTATCATGAAAGTAAATGAAGTTTTCTGCGTAGAAATAAATCGAAGTAAAAAATAAAAACATATAAAAGAATGTTTCTTGAGGCTGTTGAAAGAACAGTTTCAAAGAGGCGTAAAAAAATGTTTACACTCATTAGATGATATTCTGGTAGAGAATCAGGGATTTTATGTTCCTGAGAAAGAGAAAAGCTCATCTCTAGAGCTCCCGAATCAACAACTAGTGGAGTCATAAAAAAACCTGCACTCACTACATGGGAGGAGATGTAGAAATGAAAATGAAACGAGCTACAAGCTACAATTTCACGATTTGAAGCTTCCAATTCTCAACTTTCTAAACATTGCAATTCTTTCTCACATGTGATCTTTAATTTTAATAAACTGTGAAAAGCCGGAAATAATTCCACAACATCGAGCGAAACGAAACAAAGCTGACATGAAAATGAGAAATGATTAACATTTATATTGCTATAGCAGACAGACAGTTCTAAGTAGGATTAAAAGCGGTTAATGTGCGTATCATTTCTTTTCAAGACATTACAATACGCAACTGGCATTAACGTTCATCCGTAAAAGTATTTAATTAACTAAACGTTGTTACATTATCAACAAGATTGATTTTTATCTTAAATCTGTGATCATGCTTTTCACAAATAGAACTTCATTCAGTGTCGTCTGTTAAAGCTAAAAGCAATGCTATGTTATTGATATGAGAAACACAAAAATTATGTCTTGCTGGAGCAATAAAAAAAACTGCGAATGCAAAAGTCGAAGCATGTTTTTTTTTGTGTTGCAAAATGATTGGTAATTGCATCGCAATGTACACGCTACTCCAACAGAGATCTTTGAGAAAACATCTTGAATAATGTTGTATCTGTTTTACTCTCATTTCTTATTCCTAGTCATGTTTAGAATTTGTAGCAGAAGCTTGAAGAAAAATTGTGTGTGCATCCGATAAGTGAATAAAGCATACAAAAGAAAAGCGTAGAAAAGTTTCCTTAATTGTCTTATCTCGCTTTTAATCATAATTAAAACTAACTTTTTCTTTTTTCTCCTCATTCATTTTTCTTCTTGAGATGAATATCAATTAAGAGATAAGACAGATTTTTATCGATGCAGAAAACGGGATCATTCAAGTCATCAGTTGCAAAACTCAAACCGGTGCCGATAAACGGATTTACATATCGAAGAAATGTTTCATTTCATGTTTACAAAAAATATGTTTAATTATGTGTGTAGGTACAAATCTCGCATTGACTTGTAAAACATTAAATGCGATTCTGTGGACTTTTTTTTCTTCTCAACTGCCTCACGACTTTTTATTTATAAGTGGAAATTTATCCCAACTGGCCATGAGAAACGCATGTGATCAACGAAGGAACAGAGACAATGCGATGGAACATAAAATAGCACCTTACAACATAAATAGTTACTTTGTTCAATGGTCAACTCCAAAAACTACACAACTATGTAATAAATTGCTTCTCCTGATTTCAAATGCTACTCTAAAAGAATTTACTTTGAAGCTAAATTCGCACAAGATTGTAGTGAACGACGAGAGCAAGAAGGAGGTGAACAAGAATCTACCGATAGCTAATTTAATTTATTATGAAAAAGTTGTGAAAAAAGAATGCGCAATTTCTTTATGCACCTTTTGTATGGATTTTGATGGACAAACAATATGTTTCGTAACGGAATATCAGCGTTACACACAGCTTGAAAGTAAATTCTATTAAATTTCCACATGCCTTTCATAGCATTAATTTTTATGCAGAATAGTTATGCTAGGTAGAAATTTTCTGTTTGACCTGAAGATATCAAAATTTTGAATGAATTTTCTTAAATATTTTAATTGGTTTGAAAACAATCACTTTGAGCTTCTGTAAATTTAATAAACTGAAGGCAACTTAGCTTCTTCATTTGCTGTCAAAATGATGTCGGAAAATGTATGAGAAATTTAACTCGCTTCAACTTCTCTAATTTTCAGGATTTTAATCTTCCATGTTTCGTAAGAAAGCAATTGAGTGACTTAAAAGCTGTGAAACTATCGTAAAACTTAACTTTACTTGATTTTGTTACTGACAGCTGAAGGCGTTCGACAATTAAATTTCTTAACTTTTAACTGCGCGCACTTTTGAAATTAAGCTCTTATTCTGCCTCGAGAAAAATCATTGGTGAGTTGCGTGCTTATGTCATCACATTTTTTATATAAAATGCATTTTGCTATAAATTTATTTACGGTTAGTTTTGTTTTATGTTTCTTCAGAGACTTCGATAGAAGAATTGACTTACATAAGTCTCCAATAAATAAATTCCTTGCATGATGATTGTTCATCATAAATTTAATTCATAAACATTGAATATGTTCCAATAACTTGAGATTTCCTACCAAAAATTGCCATCAATTTTAAGAGCAGATTCTTGTGGTCTGAAATGGCTTTCCATCATACAACAGAAGCAGGAAATCTTCACAAAAGAAAATCATTTTCAACTCATCTTTACCTTCTCACAATATTCACGTTCGCCAAATGAAGAGTAAGAAGTAAAAGATCGTGTAAATGCATATTTAGCAATGTCAGAAAGAAACTGCGAGCATAAGCATCCTTTTCAGACCATTCAATCTATCACTTTTATTACAATACATAAATTATGTTTTAAGAAAAATAAATTATAATTTTTCATTGCTTCATTTTACTGTACTTTATGTTGCCTCCGAACTGCGAAGAAATTCTTTCGATAATTTGACTTATGAGGCGAACAAAGTTATGTGTAGCTTTTTATTTTTTTAAATTAAATTAAATAATATGAGTTGTGAAGAAGAAGAATGAAACATAAAGAACAAGAACAAAAACTCACCTTATGGGCTCTGATGGAAGTGCCCTCTGAGCAAGCTAATGTGACGTCCACCAAACTCTCGTCCTGCAGTAGTTGACTGAAGACCCCTAACAGGTTGGATTGATGATTGTTCCACCGTAGACAGTATTGCTCACTGCCCATGTCGGTGACAGCTTACGCTGCTGATTGTTAATTGAACATGGAATGAAAGCAAGAAAGAAAAGACATTGCGGCTAATTAATAATCACAACTAATTCAACAATCTTTTAATTAATTTTACATGAAATTTAAAGTCACTGAATATTATTTACCCACCCTAAAGCTATCTGTGTGATATGTATCGAGCTTTATTTCTTACAATTGCATTTCGAGTACATTTTACAATAAAAAAAAGTTTTTCAGTTATGTGTTTCATGCATTTGCGCGCCCATAAAGTGTCTGTTATTTAAATTTCCTAGATCTCGCGCACCAGCTACATTGGGGCTACATAGAGGCAAGCAAATGGCATTAAAATATCGCGCATATATAATTAAATCATGTTCGGATAATTTACAATATTTTTTCTGTTTTCGTTCGATTTCTCGTTTCCTTGTTGCTTTTCAAAACCTATGATTGTTGTTGCTGTGCTGCTTGAAGCTTCAAATATAAAAATGCATGAAACTAGTAACAATATTGTATTCGCATAATCAAATATTCGTTTACGATTATGCTGAAAGATATTTATGGGAAATTTAAGGCAATGGGAGAAGTTGAAAGTGATGTTTTAATTATTCTAATCATTGCTGTGTTTAAAATTCAAAGTTTTTCTTAAAGACACTCCCCACTGATCGTTTCTAATTTTCTAATGGCTGTTTGACGTTAAATATTACTCGTCATCTTAACTACCTCGATCACTTCACTTTTTCGCCGTTAAGCATTCTGTAATTTAAAACTGCCGGTTAAAAATTTGTTCTTTATGTTTTCTACCTTTAATCCTGCCTCGTTAGTGGATTTTATTTTTCCTTTCTTTTTTCGCGCGACGCGAACATCGCGGAACGAAAAGAATTGAAATTCTGTAATGTGTTGAAATATGCCATTGTGCATAAAGGAGAGAGAGAAAGAGTGAATCAAACTTGCAGCTGAGCAAATTGTGTCTATAGAAACACTACATTCGAAAATGAATTTAAAGACTTGTTTTCTTTTGCTGTTAATGTTGTCATTGCGAGAAAACTGGTAGAAAACTGTAGCAGGAAAATAAAGAATCGAAATGCGTTAATTAGAGGGAGTTTAGTGAACCCACGCTGTAGTTATGAAATTTAAAATCGACAGTATTGTAGATAATGAGAAATTTCACTGCAGATTTTTCTTCTTATTAAAAGAAAATTTCATGAGATTGAAATGGTGAACAGAAATTCTAGTTTTTTGGTTCTGTTCAATTAAGAATCTCGATTTTTTAACATTTTGCAGATAATTTAAACAGTTTTAAATCACAATGGAATATCAATAATCTATTTGATAAAAATACAAAAAATGGAATCAATTTATTTATTGAGATTATACCGTAAAAGAAGTCAAACAAGAAATTAAGTGAAAAGATAATTTCTGAAGAAGATGCAAGATAAGATTTGACTAGATCAGATGTTTTCCCAGGTAGCTCAACAAGATGATTAAAAAAATATAAATTAATAAATAATGTTAATTAAATTCACTTAAACACGCTATCTAAGCCCGCTACTGTCTTCATCTTTGGGATGAAGTGTTATCCATTTTTTTTCCTTACAAGCAGCTTCACAACTCATTAGTATTGCACAAGACAATTAACATTCGACGCGAAATGTGAAACACCTATGCTGAATTATTCAACAATTTGCCTGTTCGATGCCTGTTAAATGGTTGTGTGTAAAAAAAAATAAATATTGCAAGTAAGCATCGTATTTCGCGTTCTTGTATCTGCTGCTGTCGCTGCCATTGCTGCTGCACTCGTTTCCTTGCTTAATTATTTGTTTGAATTGTTTTCTTAAAGTTTATTAGTTTAGTGAGGCAGGCGAGGAAACCAACGTTGTGTATGCAGCAATGCAACAAGCAACAGAATATTTCTATCGTAATATTTCAGGGTAAATTGGTTTTCGCATTAGATTGGGAGGCTGTTGTTGAGTAACTCTGCACAACACACAACGATTTTCCATTAAGAAGATATCTGAACGGAATTTATTGAAGAAATCATGTTCAATAAATTTTCGTACTGCTTTGTTGTTATCTCGTTTCGACACGCCGCAATTCTCACTCGCACAGCAGCGCACTTGGACTTGAGAAGTATTTCAGATTTTTCACGTAATATGGCACAAATGAAAAGTAATTAAAATGTTAGATCTTCGATTGCCACGAAACTCGAAAAGTACTTAAAGTCAATTGCATCGCGAAATAAAGGAGTTGTAAAACATTAAGGCCGTCGCATTACTCACGTTTTTATTTCTTGCTCTCTCTCCCTCTTGTTATTAATTACATTTTCAACAGTTATTGTTCGACATGCAAAGCCACTATCGGCTTGCAACCTATCGGTTTATAATTGCAGGCGAGACATTAAATACGGAAAATTAATCAAAACACTGCAAGCAAATACGATCAATCTCTCTTTTTCCACTGAAATTTTAATAAATGATTTATAGTCGACACTAAGCGACAAAGATTGATATGAGATTATAAAAAAAAGAACATTACTTGCATGAAAGTGCAGTGAAGGATGATAATCGAATAAAAGTTATTACTTTGTTGTTTAAATATTTTCTCTATTCTGATGATACAATCCCACCCACAAATCACCAATTAATATCAGCTTCAGCTTCAACGTCGTTGATGTCAGTGAGGTCACATAATGTTAAATAAATTGTAGTGAAGAAGTGAACAGCAACAACAAATATGAAGCAGAATGTGAAGGAACAATGGATTGACTTCTAACATACTGACACACTTTAATACTTATAATCCTATTAGCACAATCAAAGTCATTTGGTGAAAAGAAGCTGAATTATCTCCCAATGGAACAATTCCTTGTTTTGCATGTAATGTTCGCTGCTGTAGCCTCAAAATCATAAATTATTCAACAAATAAGAATGAAAAATGGAATTGCATAAAATTTTATGAAAAAAATAACAAAAAAAAACTTCAAATCTTGTGCACTGCGCATACAATTTTATTATTTGCATTTATTTGGTTTTATGAACATGAGGATAAATGTTTAATGTTATAATGTGTGTAACATTACATAAAGTTTGTTGTTGTTGTTGTTATTATTGTGATTAAAATTTATGATTTATGTAAATTATGAGAGATGTTTTTTATGGAGTTGAGTAGTTCGTGCGGTGGAAAAACTTTTAAAATGTTTATTGATTTGAGAAAACTAAATGGAATTCTGAACATTGTTTTATCTTCAGATGATGTTGCAAAACTATGAAAAAGAAAGTTTCCGGGAAGTTGTAACAATATAAAAATGACTTCTTTTTACGAGACAACTTCATTTGAAATTAATCAATATGATTCAAGTATCAAGACAGTTACGATGATATTTATATCAAAGTTTATGCTTCATTTGAAGCGGATTTATAAATTGTAATAGTTAAGCTGTGTAGTCTTTTATTACATTGCAACGTCAAAACGTGCATTTAACGAACTTTTGTTGAGAGGAATGTAAAGCCGACAGTATTAATCTTTACGCTTAATGAAATTAGAAGCAACAATCCAACAAAAAACAACTTTCATCGACAATTCTCAACTGGCGTCCTTGATCTACGCCAATGTTAACTGCAGTATTCCATCCACCCAAATGATTGTAACGCTTCATATAAAGTTTTTTTCTTCCTCTTCTCTCTGGGCTTGTTTAGCGAGCAGGAAAAAAAAAATCAAACAGTGATCTACATACAATAAATGAATTTATCGATTGGATGTAAAAGGCAGCGAGAAGAAAACACAAAATATAAATATTATTGGAAACGAAACGAAGGTAAGAGGAGTATCGAGGCTCAACATAAACATGAAGTTGAGTTGAGGAAAATATGAGAAATTGTAGTTGAGGGCAAAGAAGCACAACGTAGGCACTAAATACAAGCAATTATTTCGAAAGGAGAAACATTATTTCTCATTTTATAATTCATATTAATAACGATATTTGTTTATTTATGTTTTTATTGCACAGAAAAAGCGATTAGCTTTTGTTCGAATAAAGATTAAGAAATGCGGCAGTAACTGTAGCAGCAGCAGCAGCAACAAGAATCTATCGACATAAATATATGTACAAGTTGTATGTGTGCACTGTCAAGCTTACATTAATATCAAATTGATTTGTGTTCCGTTCAAACTCAAGCTCAAACAATCACGCAATTTCATTGTCCATCCAAATTTGCATAGAAATCGTTTGATTCAAATTGAATAGAAAGAGAACTTCAGGTCGAGTTGTTTCACGATCAAATCTTCTCCATGTAAGTAAACGTGTATGATTTTGATCTCATTCACATTTTTAAGCTACGATCCATTATATTTTTTTCCGCAATTTGAACCATGAAAGTAAGAAGTTCAAGAAAAGCATTAAAGGCTTAAGGCACACTTTTATCATTTCTTTCGTGCTTTTTTTCTTTTTTTTATTTTTGTACCCTCCCTGCCGCTTACGGAAAGGCGAGTAGAAAATTATTGTTATTACAAAAACCTATAAAAGATTTGCTATTGCATTCAAATTAGAATATAAATTTATGTATGTCATACGTTCGTTCGGTGCTTGATAAATATAAAGTAGATTTTCTCTCTTCCATAATCTGTTCATGGCGATTTTTTTTGTGCTTGCTTAAAAAAAAGAGGAAATAAAACTATTTTGAAATTAATGACGAATGAAAAATTGCCAGGTAATAGAAGAAAAATCGCTTTTCTGCTATATCGTTATTTATTGTTGAAACATAAAAAATGGGTTCATAGTTGGAGACGATATAAAACGGAAAATGTTAAATCTATAACGCAATCTTTATGTGGCAAAAGAAAAAGTTTTAAAAATCAATTAAATGACTTGAAGCTTTCAACAATATATTTCTTTTGTAATTACTTTGGGAATGTTCAATAATTAAGTCACCAAAGAGTAAATAAATCTTTGTATTTTGCTGATGGCATATCTAGACATGCCACAATTGTAGATTGATTTCCATAATAAATCTCTTTCGCACC